TAGTACTTAGTCTGGAGATGAAAAACTAGTGCTTTTGTTTTTGAAATCCTCATTGTATCTAAGAGGTAAAAAAGGTAAGTCAAAGTCTGGATACAAGCCAAGGGGGCCACCAGGTCAGAGCTTATTCTGGTTTCTGTAGAATGAAGTGATTAGGAGTATTTCTACTCCCCCCTGGATGAGATGCTAGTCCATCACAGGTTTACCCCCAGCATTAAGTTCACTGTGGGAGGCGCAGTGGTCTCATGGTTGATACGTTCGTCTCTGGATCAAGTGGTCCGGGTTTGAGCCCTGGCTGGGGACGTTGTGTTGTGTTCTTGGATAAGACACTTTACTCTCACAGCGCCTCTCTCCACCCAGGTGTATAAATGGGTACCGGTGAACTTAATGCTGAGGGTAACCCTGCGATGGACTAGCATCCCATCCAGGGGGGAGTAGAAATACTCTTAGTTGCTTCATTCTACGGAAACCCAGGTTAAGCTCCCGCCTGATGGGCCACTTGGCTCATATGCAGACTTTACCTTACCTTTTATTAACTTTGCCAGTACCCATTTATACACCTGGGTGGAGAAAAACACTGTAAGAGTAAGTTTCTTGTCCAAGAATACAGCACGATGTCCATGGCCAGGGCTCAAACCCAGACTGCTCGATCTTGAAATGAGAGCACTAGCCACGAGGCTACCTTGAATGCCACTTGCAGTGCTCCAAATGTTGTCATGTAAGCTTGCTGCCTGAAAGATTCATCAAGTTACGAAAACTCTGCCACTAAACTAATTTTCATTGAATTTTCAGAAATCTTGCCTTGTTCTGTCACTGTGATATTAATATTAAATAAATTCTCAATGTGAACATTACTATTAGTAATAGTTCTTTTGTATTATTATGTTCTTGTAGGACAAGGAGTACCCAGCAAAAGCACTTCAAATAGCCAAACTTAAGAGGCAAAGAGAAATTTTGGAGTTGACATTTAAGGTAAGATTATTTTTGCAGAAATGAAGGATTACCCTGGGTAAATATCCTATTACTATTATTACTATATTATTATTGACCCACCTTCACAGAAGATATTTTTGGCTTGAAACTCCCCACCTACTCTTTTGGAATTCCAGTTTAGATTCACATTTTTCTTTGCTTTTTGACGCCCCCTTGGCCTTGAATTTTAAGTGAGTATGTATATATCTATTTGGTTGATCTAGAGGCAGTTAAGGTGATTCCTCAATATCACATTATGCATCCCTACTGTGCATAAGTTTTGCATCATTAGCACACGCAAATGAGTGTGTGCACATACACAACAAAAGAGATTTCCCTCAAGCTAAGCTCAACAGCGAAATAAATGCTCATTTTCTCTTAAACAATCATGGTGACCTATATTTTTTTATTGCATAATTTCAATGAGAACAGTATCCTCAATAACTGAGAAAAAAATAGCAGAAATCTTTGGCTAATTTTTTAGCAAATGAAATAAATTCTACAGAGGGAGACATAACAGGCCCAACAGCACATGTCCAAATTATGTTTCCATTAAAGGATAAAAAAATGCAGGGTATTTGAAGACATTTTTTCTGGGACATAGATAAATAAACAATCAAAGAAAGTCAAACTCTGTGTGATGTAATGCGCCGCATTGAAAAATAATCGAGCTTATTTGTTGCACACAGAGATCACCAAAAGTCACCTAAATAACCATATTTGTCAGCATTGTGGCATGAAAACAAGCACAGTGACTCCCTCTTTTTATTACGTTTTTAATAACTCCTTGTCCTGGAACAACAGCATACCAAGTTTCATTGGAAATCACCTTAAGTGTGCATGGCAAATATACCAAAGAAGCCTTACACTGAAAACCTGTATGTGTTGTGCGTGGTTATCCAATTGTTTAAAACTGACAGAAAACTGTCTAGAAATCATCAACATGGATTGCTTCAGCTCAACATATAGTGCAGTAATCTTGGGTTTGTCCCTCACATGCAGAAAATCAGAACCTTCCTAAATATCCTCGCTAGCTAAGGAATTTATCACAGATTCAAAATCATGTCTGGATTACAAAATGTCTGCTGGGTTGATTTCCTGACAGGAGGAACTTGAAGAGTTACAAGCTGTCGTTGATGCAGAGAGAGACAAATTTAGTCAGCAAAGGGAAACTGTTCAACGGGAAGTGACCACAAAAGTAACTGAGGTAGAAAGACAAAGTACACTGAATTATAATTTCTCCATACAATGACCTTATTAATTTATTATTAGAACAAGAACATTTTTCTTATTAGCTTCTGAGCTTTTTTTCTGTGCTTTGTTCTCCTCTAACATTAACACTGTTTTCACTGCTACGCAACCTT